AACAGCGCTAAAAAAAAAAAAGTGGACATATTCTTTGAGATGAATGTGTTATTTATAAAATAAAACAACAAAAACTGAAAAAAAAAGAACCATATTGCTCTCGCTTTTGAATATAAATGTCAGAGTTTACGAAGTTGATGACAAGTAATGCACTCACGATTCTATGTTGTGTTACTTCATAATGTAGCCGAAAAGATGATTGGTGTGCGGTCAAAACCGTATGTTTGCGAATGTTGCGCAGTAATAGACGGTACACAGCTGGAGAAACAGTACACAAATATCTAGGATGTATATGCGAATCTGATAAGATTACTTTCAACTATCTAATAGATTAATCTGCTTTTATTGACGAATATTTCAGTCAATATCAACTTTGATCAAAGTACAACTAAATATGATAAAATATAGTTTTAAGATATGCTATATTTGTTGGGTAAGGTGCTCAATATCAGGGATAGAGCGAATGAAAATATAAAAGTGGACGTTAAAGTCAACACCCAGAGGCGATAGTGTGTTTCATGCTTATACGCAATCCTCAGGCCAGATATTTATTGCACAAATGTAGAAATACGCCACAAGAGAAAAGTGGAAAAGGAGCAGGTTGCATCTCACTTGTCCTATAGATAACTTAGCAAACCTCAATCACTGAACCAGTCGTTCGTACATTGTTCCTTTCACGAAAACACCTCACCCAAACAATACTGACTTATACAGACACCGTAATGCGACATTTGCTCTAAGAATACTTATTTAATACCCTACGTAGTCTCTATAGAGGGCTAGGTGGATATACTCCCCGATGTTTATGACGTAACAATATTTACACAAATAAACAAAACAGTGTTAGTAAGGGAAGCCACCACAGTCTAATCATGACAGAGATACCAGTTACCTGGACGAAAATTACTGTGGGATTATTAAAATTATTCACCCTCTAAACGAAAGTCATCCCACATTCATCAGAGAATTTCAATTCCTGTCACCTAAATGGGCAAAAATCTCTCTCAAAAAAGAGAGAGAGTGGAAGAGAGAGAGAGAGAGAGAGAGAGAGAGAGTAAAAAAAAGAGAGAGATGACCTGACGATTGCGTTTAGCATGAAACAGAACAATGTATATTTTTACATACGCTCTATCCCTAATATTGGGCAATTTAAATAAATAAATATAGCATACCATAAATCTATTTTTATCCTATATATATATATATATATATATATATATATATATATATATATATATATAGTTTTTTTAGGTATGCTATAGTTAGAAGATCAAAGTGCTGAATATCTGGGAGAATGCGTGTGTAAATATAGTAAGTGTGGACCTTGATTTCAACACCGAATGGTTCTTTATTGAACGCAATCTGGTAGCCGTCGGATTGCATTCAAGTATGAAACATATTGTCACTCAGTGTTAACGTGAGTGTCCGCACTTCTTTATATATATATATATATATATATATATATGTGTGTGTGTGTGTGTGTGTGTGTGTGTGTGTGTGTGTGTTTTTATGTATGTTAAAGAAAAAGAAATCGCGTTTATGTAACCAACAGACAACTTGTCGAAACCTAAACACTTATCCAGATAAAGTTTCGAACAAAAAATAATACAGGGAAAAAAAAAAGAAAAAAAGGCCTATAAAAACTGCCCTAATCTGTAAAGACCCAGAGGCCCTAAATTGCCTAGACTGAGTAAAAACCGTTGAACAACGTTATATTCTATGAAAGGATGGCCCGAGAGATAACCCGAGTTTCATAATCACGCGATCATCCGAAGACTTGAACAGAATGGAAAGAATGGAAAGGCGAGCATTATATAACCCGTGAATCGCCATAAAGCATCATGGGAAAGGAAAAAAAATCAATAAAAATTCATTAAGAACAAACACCCACACATATGTGTGCGTATATATATATATATATATATATATATATATATATATATATATATATATATATATTATTTTATATATATATTTTTTTATTTACAAAATTAATGATCGAAATAAAAGTGTAAAAATTTAATATTAAAGACATATTAAAAAATATTAAAAAATAAAAAACTCAAAATCAATATCGAGGGGCGGCAAGAAGGTTTCCTTCCAGCTCATCAAGGCTTCCCAGGAACATTCAAAATTAAAACAAAGAAGGTACAATCAAAATAGGTGGTAAAAAACCTACATAGATGAAATACGATATATATTTTTGTATATATGCTATTCTGATTGATGACCTTTCTGTAAACATTCACGAATCTTGCACAAAGAAGTTTGATGGACCCGGAGTAAAACCGCCTCCAGAACCTTCAGTTGTTGAGTTTTTATTATTTAATATTTTTTTAATATGTCTTGTAATATTAAATTTTACACTTTTATTTCGATATATATATATATATATATATATATATATATATATATATATATATATATATATATATATGTATGCATGTATTTCTAAAGAATTAATGGATTTATTTTTAATCTGACATTTTCGTTGCTTCAAACGTTATTACTGTAGTGAAACATAATACATACTGTTTAAATGTAAAAATAATAACTGTGTGTCTTTTCAAATATGAGTATCCATTCATTTGACCAGATTCCGACTTCGAATGCAGATTTTCCAGTGTTTTTTTCGGGTGTTTGGAGACAATGTTCTTGCTCAAATTGTCCCCCAGTACGGCCTTATGTCATGCTAAGGAAAGTTTAATAAACATTCAGAATTATAGGTCGCTATAGATATGTATCTAGGTTCCTCCAGAATAACCGATTAATATTTTCCTAATCCTATTAGAGAAATCGCAGTAAAAGAAATTCTATATTTTTGAAACACTTTCCGTGGAAGATTTAAAATTTTCTGTCTTTTGATCCGATTATGACAAGTGACATTAATTGCTTGGTTTTTAAGACCAGTAATTAAAAGTTAAAACACATTTTAAACATGGCTGTAATGCTTTTATCCGTTGTGTCAGTTCGGCATTGTTTTACATTTTTTTTATGATTTAATAATCATGACGCTCTGATTTGCTCTGATTAAGCAGTCAGATTAGATAGGCGAACAGTTATATAACTTCTTACATCTGTTTTCCCCACTCTCTGTTTTTTTTCGTATCTTCGTCTATCTACTCATCTCTCTCTCTCTCTCTCTCTCTCTCTCTCTCTCTATATATATATATATATATATATATATATATATATATATATATATATATATATATTAATCATGTTATAAATTAGAAAGAAAGGTAGCACCAGAGCGGTGTCTCTCCCAGAATTAACTTTTATTTATCTATTTTTAATAATTTAAACCTTTTCTACTTTTTTTCGGCTACAATATCAACCGTATCTCTTTAACTTCATGTCCAGTTGCACATGAAGCATTTCAGCATAAAATCAATATAAATCAACACACACACCTATATATATATATATATATATATATATATATATATATATATATATATTTTATGCAATGTCTTAGCAAAAAGTTTGGGGGAATTTGGCCATTTTAAAGAGCTATAAAATATATAGTTTTCACCATCTCTTTCAGATAGTAATACTGTATATGGGTCGCCTCGTTATTTGGTAGTCAGTATCGTACAGCATGTGGGCAGCATTTACGAATATATATATATATATATATATATATATATATATATATATACACACACATATATATATTTATTTGGGGCTGTGTGTGGGTGTGTGTGTGTGTGTGTGGCCGAGCGCGCGTGTATTTAAAAATCAATCTATAGAAAAAAATATCAAATTTGCGATCACCTGAAGAGGAACAACCATTTGAATGAAAACCTCTGTGATTGATTTTATGTCCAGTCTCGTCATCATACTATTATCACGCATAGAATCATTAGAGTGTTTGGTATTGAAAGCGATCAACTTAAATATCTCGAAGTCCTTTGACAAAGTGTGACATCGGAAATTGTTACAAAAAAACTTACCAGCTATGGAATCTCTGGTGTCGTCTCTGCGAGAGTCTCTGGGAGTCAGAAATGGTCACCGAAGATCGCTGCTCATAGCAAATCTGAGTTGACATAAGATCAATTCCGACGTTCCTCAAGTCAATCTCCTTACTACTACACTCGTTCTGCTATATATTAAGCATTTTTTTATAAGAGCATTCTCAGATCCTTAGTAAATATGTATGAAGATGATAACACAATGCATGGGTGCGCCTTCACATATCTGGATTATCAGTGCCTGTTATAGGATGATTCGTCTAACCTTAATCTCATATCTCAATGGGGGAAGAAATTCAATACCACCAAATCAAAAATAGCAATACTTAATCACCGCTATCAGATCATAAATCTGTTCTAACCTTGATAAGCGATCATATTATCAAAGAGGGACCTTGCCACGGCCACCTACTTTATTTAAAGTTCATTACAGATCACAAATGTAACTCGTATATTTCGATGCTGGAAATATTGTCGGTTCCTTGTATCGCTCCAGAAAATACCTAATTCTTACTTTCATGCTCTGTCTGCCTTTAGAAGAATCAAATCAGACAAAGAATTGAATATTACTGACATCTCTGTATTTGTGAGGACCAATCCTTACTGTCGATCAACTACAAAAGCGATTACGCAACATTTTGGGTGACGAGCTCTTTTCTATCCTGCAAGCCTTCTACCACAGATGAAACGTTGCTAGCTTCTCGCTACTATATAGCTATTCATATGGCAAATGTTTCTCACGAGTTATATTCCTTTGTCCCACCAGCTGATACATTCGCAGCTAGGACCCGACATGCCCTGCTCACTGCGGCAAATAATCTCCATACCCTTCCTGTTATTTTGGTAAGGAGGAAGTTCGACTTAGACAGCTTCTTCCCCAGAACAGTGTCGAAGAGTCCTCTGCAAAGATGTCTGTCTGATTACTACACACTTAATATTGTCATTTGATATCTGTCCTAAATATCCTCATAATATGCATATTTTACCACATCCTTCTCCCTCTCTTACAACAATATCTTCCAATCTTACGGCAACATCATGTTGAAACACCGGTTACCATACGATCGCCGAAGTTAAGCAACGTCGAGAATGGCCAGTACTTAGATGGGTGACCACTTGGTTTTTCTAGGTGCTGTAAGCATCGATGTGCGGATGGTATAATGGGTAATGGCTCATAATTGTTAATCGGAGCGACTAGTACCGTTTCCGTTTTGGTTCATTATATTCACTTGGAAAAGGCATGAATCCACAACTTCCGCAGCTGTGGGTTGACTTGTATCACTAAAACCATTATTATCTCTAAAGAAAAGATAGAATTACTTACAAAATATTTAGATTTCGGCATTAAATAACCAACAGAGGTTGATATACCGCTAAACGAAACAACCAACCTACACACACACATATATATATACATATATATACACGAATATAGATAATATCAAAGTCGATAAGAAAACTCGGAGTTGGGTTATCGACGTTGGTTATTATGTATAATTACTAGTGTTTACTTATAGCCTTGTTCATATCATTGAACGCTGTAATTATAACACCCGGGGAATATAAATACTGAGTACGCACAAGTATTTCTGCGTGTATGTACATTTATGCTACTCATTACTACTATCTATCTATCTATCGATCTATCTATCTAATGTGCATGTGTGCGTGCCTGTTGGTGTCTGTGTTCATTACAGTTAATGAGATTCAAAAGATTTACCTCATACAGATGATATTTTTCCCTGGACTTAACAATGCAAATACATTTACTACTAAATGTATTTAATAGTAAATGCATTTAATAGTAAATATATTTTCATTGATAAGAAATGATGATGGAAATGATCATCTGTATGAGGTAAACAGTTTGGATCTCATTAAGTGTAATTCACTTATATGCTGTATAATAAAGATTTTATTGAGCTCTCTTTTGTGGATCAGTTTTAACACTTTATCTACTTGGATTACTTACCCACGGATTTTTTTACCTGTGCTATATATATATATATATATATATATATATATATATATAATGGTATATGCGTACACTTGTGTTCCCCGGACGTGTAGGAAAGTCAAAGAGCCTTAGTCTGAGAGATAAGTCTATAACGACGCCCATTGGACTACGGCATTGATCTACACTTCTTACCTGCGACTGCGACGCGTACCAGTCGATTACTGCTACTGTATTCTACTTAGGTATACCACTTGGCTACTTCGATTAAATATATCCATTTTAGGGACATATCATATATATATATATATATATATATATATATATATATATATATATATATATATATATACATGAGAGAAATAAGGAGGAGAAAAGTTATATAAATATCAATCTAACTTGCGAGATAAGTAGGAAGGAAGGAAGGAAGAAGGAAGGAAGGAAGGAAGGAATGTAATTGATGCTGAGACATAAATTTGGGGGCAGAAAAAGAAATGTCACAAATTTATGTGTAGACATATCCAAAACACTAACATAACTGATGCGCGAAGTCATTTTTTCTCTTTTGAAAATGCTGTCTGGCCTTTTAAAGAAAACGACGCGCCAAGAGCATGTGTCGACAGATTGCGAAGTGGGATGGTCTTCTATGTAAACGACAAAATAATGAAAGCAGAACAAATCTCAACTCCATAAGATTGTCACTGACAGCCCAGCTTGTGCGAACTTCTTTTCTCGACACATAGAACTTGAATGCAACAGCGAAGCTATGTCAACTCGAATCAAGTCTGAAGTTTTTAAAGAGTCAGGGAAAGTAGTTGCTGGGAATGTCAATCCTTCCCTATTATTTAACTCTCTCGGCTTTCAATTATTTCCCTTCTTTCCCCTTTTGTCCTTTCCTTCTCATTTTTCTTTGATGCGTTGCTAATGGAAAGAAAAGAAGCCACTTTTCTTCTCATTTAACTAGAAAGTGGTGCAGCTCCATCGTTGGCGCTTAACGACCTAGTAACGCACGGTTCATAGAAATATAAATGTAAGAAACTCATTAGATTTAGCGTGGGTAAGAGACGACACTTTAACTAGTTGCAGGTTGCTACGTGAACTCATAACATCTTTTATTATATATCTATATCTTTTTAAATAATTTATTTCTAATGTCTCCTAGCCAAAGGCTTATTAATGCTTATCAAAAGACCCAGGACTCAAACTAGTGACGTTCCAACATTACCGAGCAGACTCAAAATTTTCACCGATCACGATGAACGGTTGTCAGGGAGACTGCGGCACTTGATCGCTTAGTGGAACTTAAACTAAACCCAGACGTCAAGTAGAACTACTGGATCCGATCCATTGCTAAAGATGCTGGAAAATAGTTGGTTTCATGTACCTATCTGATTCCGTCAGAAAAAGCCAAAAATATAGTACGGCTGCCATATATGGACAGAAGCTGCCTAATCATAACTCTTCAATCTCGATAGAGTCAAAATGCGTCTCCGCGTATTTATGGGTGACAAATTATTTTCTATCCAACAATCCAATTCTTGCAGACTAAACGTCGCAAGCCTCTCGCTGCACTGTCACTATTCCTATGGAGAGTGTTCGGATGAATTACATTCTTTAGTTTCACCAGTTCTGAACTTCACCCGCTATAATACGCACATTGTATTGGTCTATCCTCATTCCTTTCGTATTTCATTATTGAGATGTAAGTTCCGCTCGGATATCTTCTTTCCACGAACTGCTGCTTAGTGTAATCGACTCCCAAGAGAATGCTCTCCCCGATCACTACAGTTTTAATCGGTTCAATTCTAGTTTTAAAATATTATCTTCCCCACATATCCTCATAAACTGTGCCTCTTATTTAATCCATCGTATTTCTCTTAATTCAAACGTTATTTTTAGTGGATATTCGTTTTTCAGTAGACGTTCCGTTTTTATATATATATATATTAAACAGTACTTATTTCGTCTAGCGGTGTGAACACTCGAGAAAATGTATCAATTTGAATCTTACCGGAGGCGTATTTTCTTTAGGTTTTCTCGTGTGCGTAGGCCAGAAGACGAAATGAACACTGTGTAAAAACGTTTGGAATAATAATAATAATAATAATAATAATATATATATATATATATATATATATATATATATATATATATATATATATATATATCCAGGTCTTTAGGTACAGCACGATTTTGTCCGCCTATCAGTCTGTTCATGATGTGTTTCTATGCATGTGATTTTGGCATTCATTGAATTCAATTTCGTTTTTCCATCGCGAGGCACCAGTTTACTGTTGGTAGAACGTGCTTCTTATAATGCTATTATATTTGTGTTGACAACAATTTGACATCACAAATATAATAGCAGCATCTACATGAAAAAGCTAAAAATAATGATGTAAGCCTTATAAATAATAAAAAAAAGAACACTTAATAATATCAACTATGAACATGGACACAATATCTTAGCCGTGTTTTGAAAAATGAAAATATTACATAAAAACATAGATACAAGAAACTATTTCTTATTTAAAATAAATAAATTACATATTGCATCCTTGAAATTGGCTAAATGTATAGCGGAAACCGCTAGGAAAAAAGAACATTCGAATTATTAGATCGGATGAGAAATTGTATATAAAAAACTAAATCAAGGCATCTGGTCTGCCTTATTCAATGAAATGCATATATATATATATATATATATATATATATATATATATATATATATATATATATATATATATATATGTGTGTGTGTGTGTGTTTTTTCTATATATATATATTATATATGCATGGTACTTATTGGAATGTGCTACTCTACTCATCCTTAAACTTATAGCCATATAACTAAATATATATATATATATATATATATATATATATATATATATATATTCAACTACATACAACTGAATATATATATATATATATATATATATATATATATATATATATATATGATGGGACACCTCTCGGCGTGGTGTAGTGATTAGCAAAGCTTGTTTTGCTAGAACAATTACGACTGAGTAGTGACTTCGATCCTCACTGGGTATCCTACACTTTCGGCCTTGTGCCATATCTACTATATCTACGCTACTCTTCTCTCTCTCTCTCTATATATAATATATATATATATCTATATATATATATATATATATATATATATATATATATATATATATATATATATATATATATATATATATATATATATATGTTGTGTTTGTGTGTTTTTATTTAACTCCAGTTTCATTTACTTTTTATTAATTACAACACAATATCTGAACATTTAGAATCTGTATCCAAAAGCTTTCAATTTGATTTTGAAAATGTTTTACGTATATGCCATTAGTTTGTGCTGTCAAACGTTGATAATTTTCCAGTTCTTTCCATCCACACTATCATAATTATTATTGTTACACTTTTTTATGAAGCCCTACATATAATAAATTGATACGTGCGAGGCTTAGTGATTATCAGTGGGGAAAGTGCTATCGACAAATTTCAAAAGTGGTCTTGTGTTCGCCATCGCACAAATATCCTTGGGAAAAATATGTAGCCATCATTTCTCGCCCACATACCCCTGCCTCAATAATGAATCCGGCAGAGATGACAAAGTTAATCCGGCCCATACCCTTGAAAATGATCTCCTAACAGTGTTTAACTTGGGTACGAAATGTCTTGTAACCGTTAATGCCTCCAAAACTAAACTGCTCTCATTTAACCGCCACTGAGAAATTTCCATGCCCCCCCCATATCAGTATAGTTGATGCACGACTCCGTGAAAGTGTCTCAGTATGTCTTCATGGGCTCACGTTTTCCAATGACCTGAGGTGGAACAAATACATTGAATTAATAGCTACATCTTTTGTAAGGAAAATTATTTCCCTGTGTTGGGTCACAAGGTTTTTATAGTCAAAGTTCGTCTTACACATCTACACATCTACTATTCACCCATACATTGAATATTGTTGTCATATATGCTCTGATGCCCCTGCTTTTCATCTCGTGGTTTTCAACAAAAATCAAAGAAACATCTGCAATGTAATCAGTCCTGACACGACATCTCTTCATGTAACTCTCGAATAGACGTGATGCGGGTTCTCCCTGTCTTTTCTACAAATATTTTTATGGCAACAGTTCGGATGAGTTATCTCCGCTGATGACCCCGATTACATGGAT